AATTATAATAAAAAATAGGTACTTCAAATACCTAATTTGTTTCAACAAATACTTGAAATTCAATGATTCCTCAGTAGTCATAATAATTTCACAAATATTAATACAAACATAAGATGTATTTTCACTTAATAAGATCTTAGTAAAGCTTAAGATTTAATGCCAGCTTAAAATAATGCATTAAGATAACACTGAGAACACATTTCAGTTAAAACTACACTAAACTTTTGTCTGAAGCTTAGTAATAACAAGTAAAGTATTTAAACCTAAGCCTCTTTTTCACCACTCTCTAAGTGATGTAACAGAAATTTCAGTGATGAGAGGCTAAAGAATACCAAGTATCCTTCAATAGAAAAATGGATAAAGTTGTGTATATATATATATACACAATGGAATTACTTGGTGATAAAAAAGAATGAAATCTTGCCATTTGCAACAACATGGATGGACCTAGAGGGCAGTATACTAAGTGAAATAAGTCAGAGAAAGACAAATACCATATGATTTCACTTATATGTGGAATCTAAAAAACAAAACAAATGAACAAAGAAACAAAAAACCAGACTCTTAACTACAGAGAACAAACTGGGTAGTTGCCAGAGAGGAGATGGGTGGCTGTGGTTGGGTGAATGAAATAGATAAAGGGAATTAAGAGGTACAAACTTACAGTTATAAAATAAGTAAGTCATGGAGATGAGAAGTACAGCACAGGGAATATAGTCAATAATATTATACCAATGTTGTCTGGTGACAGATGGTGAGTAATAGTGGTGAGCAATTAGTAAATGTATAGAACTGTCCAATCAATATGTTGTACAACTGAAACTAATATAATATTGTATGTTAATTATACTTCAATAAAAATAAAAAGAATACTTCAATTTCATTAAAATATTGACAATTAGGGGTGCCTGGGTGGCTCAGTCATTAAGCGTCTGCCTTCGGCTCGGATCGTGATCTCAGGGTCCTGGGATCGAGCCCCACATTGGGCTCCCTGCTCCGTGGGAAGCCTGCTTCTCTCTCTCCCACTCCCCCTGCTTGTGTTCCCTCTCTCGCTGTGTCTCTCTCTGTCAAATAAATAAATAAAATCTTTAAAAAAAAAATATTGACAATTTAATAATTGATCTAATAATTAATTAATCATTTTTGCTTCACTTGGCCATGTTGGTTCCATAATTATTAAGGGTATGGACTTTCTTAGAAAAGAGTTTTAATTGTTTAAGACCTTCAACTTTGATTTTCTCTATTACTCTAAGCAGTATAATATTATACTATAATAATAATATATATACTACATAAAAATGTTAAGTATTTTATTTAACCTACCCTGAGTAGTATAAGACTACTTTTTAAAAGGCTATATTTATGTGGGTAAAGCACCACAGTAATGTGTATGTCAGTTTTACCATGATGACTTTGAGATGGAATGCATGTAGAAATGTAGGGGCGCCTGGGTGGCTCAGTCGTTAAGTGTCTGCCTTCGGCTCAGGTCATGATCCCAGGGTCCTGGGATCGAGCCTCGCATCAGGCTCCCTGCTCTGCGGGAAGCCTGCTTCTCCCTCTTCTACTCCCCCTGCATGTGTTCCCTCTCGCTGTCAAATAAATCAATAAAAATCTTTAAAAAAAAAAAAAAAAGAAAGAAATGTCAAGTAGTTTGGAGACATCAAACTGGACTTTAGGAAAGAGGTAGGGCTTGAAATAGATATTTGGCAATCATCCTAAATTTAGATGCAATAACTGAAACTAGAACAGACAGAATTTCCAAGGAGTAACTGATTGCCCCAATATCATGGAATGTACGGCTTTCTACACCATAGGTACTCAGTAAATATTCACTAAATGACTAACATTAAAAAATGATAATAAACCTCTTATATTGCAATGGTTCTGCATTCTTTAGCTACTGCTGCTTTTGTAGGATGAATTTATTATTATTTTTAAATATATAAAACCATGAAAACTACTATGCAGGACAAAGTAAACTGCCTTGACCTCTCTAGACACATCTGTTTTTAATTTACACTAAAAGACAAACTATTGTGATCCACTGAAACTCATGAAAATACCCAGAAATCTTAAAAGTCTCCTCAAACATCTTAGCATCTAATTAAACTATCTCCCCCTCCACTACAATTAGCATTCGTTCTTTCATACAAGTGAATAATTTTCTACACTAATTCCAAAAATTGATACACCACCATCTTCTACCATTTTCCTTTGCAATATTTATACTGTATTTCAGCTACCATAAGGGTTAGAAACTATTATAAACTACTGTTGATTCTTTTTTTTAATTTGAGAGAGAGAGAGAAGAAGAGACAGTGAGAGAGGAGTACAAGCGGGGAGGAGGGGGGAGAAGCGGGCTCCCTGCAGAGCAAGGAGCCCGATGCGGGGTTGGATCCCAGGACCCTGGAATCATGACCTGAGCCAAAGGCAGACGCTTAACCGACTGAGCCACCCAGGTGCCGCACTAGTCCTGATTCTTAACCAACATTTATATCATCATTTAAATTAGGCATTCCATATTCCAAGTAACTAACTAAAAATGAAAATTTCAGAACAAAGCCCATTTGTAACTTGACTACTTCAGTTTTATTTTATTTTTTGGTTTTGTAAAACTTATTTTCTGTTCATGAGAAGAGGAAGACCATTAATAAACTATGATTAAACTTCCACCCAGAAATCAATAGCCAAGGTAACATGGAAAAAATGCTAGATTTCAAAGCACGGCAGGGTCACAGTAGGTAAAGGTGGAATAGATGGCACAGAAATATGAAGTAGGACCAAAGTAGCAGTCAACTCAAAAGCAGGAAAGAATCAGACACAGAAAGCTATGTGATGGAAAGAAACAAAGGGTTTTTTTACTAAAAAGTATACTCATATTTTTAGGCATCAGGTTCAAAGAGAGCAGCAGTGTGAATATATGGGATTGTATCAGCAAAATGTGAGGAATATGCAATTAGTCTCTCTTTACTCTGTAACTTGGAACTTCAAGAGAGCACATTAAATTGAAAAGCTTAGTTTTGAGGCAAGTCTAATATTATTTACTACACTCTCCTACTTCTTTTTAATTTCTTATTGTTTGCCCTCAATTTATGGGATTTAGTCTGTTTTTTTCTACTTTCTCCCAGCCCTGTATCTTTTTTTTTTTAAGATTTGTATTTATTTACTTGAGAGAGAGAGAGAAAGAGAGAGAGCATGCACAAGAGCTGGGGGGGGAGGGGCAGAGGGAGAAGCAGATTCCCCACTGAGCAGGGAGCCGGATGTGGGGCTCTATCCATTGGCCCTGGGATCAAGACCTGAGCTGAAGGCATACATTTAACTGACTGAGCTATCCAGGCGCACCCTATATCTAACCTTTTAAGACCATCCTTACTGGTTTTCTGTTCTTTTTGCACTACATTAACCTTGCTTCCTATAAACCCAATACAACATTGTACTCTCCAAAGACTCAGGGACTTCCTCTGAAGTTATACTGACCTAACGTCAGAGTTAGGGACTGAAATATAACCAAAGAATAGCATTGTTTCCAGTCTCCCTCCCCCACCAACCATTAAATTATCCTCTAAAGCCCTCATACCTGAACAGGTGATTTTCAAAAATGCACTGGTTTATTCAGAATGTTCATCATCATACAGATTTTTTTTTAAAGATTTTATTTATTTATTTGACAGAGAGAGACATAGTGAGAGAGGGAACACAAGCAAGGGGAGTGAGAGAGGGAGAAACAGGCTTCTTGCAGAGCAGGGAGCCTGATGCGGGGCTCGATCCCGGGACCCTGAGATCGAAGGCAGACGTTTAAGGACTGAGCCATCTAGGCGCCCCCATACAGATGTTAAAATAGTTATAGAAGGGCTAAAAAAAAAAGTTCATTTAATTAACTATAAATATAATATAAATTTATAATTAGGCTCATTAGAATTTTTCTCTTGATAGAATTCTTGGTGTCCATGCAGTAGGAGAATATTAGAGTGGACTCTGCTCCAGTACAAAAGTATTCTTGTGCTACAGTACTGAGCATTTTTAATGCATTTTTAAACCTATATTTAAAGAATATTTTAACTGAAGTATAACTTTCTGGCTACTATCTCTTTATAAAACAAATGTTCCACACTTCAAAAAATAAAATTATGATAATTGGGTTTATGGTCCCAGATGCTATTTTCAATTAAAAATTAGTATTATTCTAATGATAAGATGAAGAAAATTAGTACTTACTTTTGATACCAAATCAATATTAAATCTCCTGCCTTCTTTAATAATTTGTGAGTAAGTAATCCTATTTTTCTTTGGTGGCAATGCAGTGTCTTCTGCTGTAGGCACATTTTCACTTGTTTCTTCTTCTGAAGCTGACTTCACACAAGTTTTATCGTCATAATGTTTTTCTTTTTCCCCTGTTACTCCCACATCGTTTATTTCTAGGGCAGTCTCTAGATCACTGCTTGGAGTTTGTTCTGTGGGCATTTCACAGCTCCCAGTGCATAATGACTCATCTTCCGAAGGCAGATAGGCAGAATGTGCAGTTTCTGTGGGGCTTCCAGATATCACAGAAGCATGATTTTTCTGCAGTGCACCAGCTTCTTCAACATCTTCATGTAAATCCTGACTAATGAGAAATCATAATAACAACACACTTTTGAATATTGTACTGGCTACATTTTTATATTATTTTAATGGCGATTTTTATTTCTTTACCCCATTTATATTATCAAGTTCAGTATACATTTTGCCTTATATGAACCACACACTAAACATCCATCTGTTAAAGTTCCAATACAATATAAAACATAATTAATATTTGAAAAATACACATAAAGATTTCAGAGTTTAGTAGGGTCTGTCATATGTACACTTTTGAGAATTTAATGTCATCAAGGGAATTGTATTTTAGAAACAAATCAAAAGTGCTTATGAGCACAGGCTTCAGAATAAACAGGACAATGTTCAAATCCTGACCCTGTAATTAGGTAACTCTGTGAACTTACACAAGTTATTTATCCTCTCTGATCTAAATTATCCATCTATAGCATATGGATAATAGCATCTACCTCACAAGGTTGTTTTGAAGATTAACAGTTTAGTCTTCATGGTGTCATGTGCAAAGAACCTATCACAGTGCCTAGCACACAGTAAATGTTCAACAATGGTAGTTATGAAAGATTATTATTTTTGATGATGGGACAGAGCTAGAAAAAGTTGCCATAAAGTTTAAGTTGGCTTATCACAATGTGGTATCTAAGAGGATCTTTTTCTTTTCTTTCCTGCTTTATTTTGTTTTAGTGTCTATTACTCTACTGGAAGTCCCAATTCCAAAGTTACTACTGATAAAACAGGCTCCTGTTCAATCTACCCACATTATGCATTCACTTTCATGGTTTATCCTCCACAGAACCTACATTTCATTGAGTTGTCCTACTGTGCAACACTAAAAATGCCAATGATAGGCCTTGGGAAGTAAACACCTGCTAACTGATTGCTCAAGAACTTATAGCAGCTCTTCCTTGTATGGTCTCTAAGCCCTACCCCATAAAGTCTTCTTCCTGCCTCTAACCCATATCACCTTCTTTATCAACTATTTTCTGGTCTTACTGCTCTTGTTTTCAGACATAGCATCTCTCTGAATCTATTAACTCCAATCTCCATGTTTTGGACCATATCATTTGTGTCTCCTGGGTTATTCATCCCACTCCCCATAATATCGTAATTCTCCTATTCTCAAAAATAAGCACGTACTTTAACAATCTATCCACTGTAAGAAAAATTTTAAATACTTCCCCAAAAAACTTCCTTAAACCAACCATACGTATCATTCTATTACTTCATGTCCCCAAAATACACACATGCAGTTTACCTTGCATTTATTTATCAGTTCCTTTTAATAGTCCTTTGGTTGTCCAGGATATACTTTATCTTCTGAAGTAGACTTTAATTCCCTTGAGGGAAGACCAGAACATCTCTACTTATGTGTCCCTCACAGCACCTCCTGCACTGCTCTACAGACGTGCTAATAAATTATTGAAGAATAAATGGTTTCTACATGCCAAGGGTGTGTGTGTGTGTGTGTAAACACGAAACAAACTGAATCTGCAGAAAACACAAGATAGGAGGCCAGGAAAAAGCAATAAATTATAAGTAAGTCTGAGTACACTTTTAAGTGTATTTTTAAAATGTCTTATTACAATTAATACAATAAACACTATAATAAAAGAGGTACAATGAAAGAGTAACATAACTTAAATGTCAAAAAAAAAAAAAGTGCTGGGGAGAAGAGCTAAGATGGTGGAATAGAAGGATCCTAAGCTCTTCACCCTTGAAAACAACTAGATAACTATCAGATCATTCTGAATACCCAAGAAATCAACCTGAGGACCGACAGAACAAACTACACAACTAGAGGGAGAGAAGAGGTCACATGGAGGAAGGCAGGAAGTGCAGAAACATGCTTTGGGGGAAAAACAGATCTCTCATGCTGTGGAGGGGAGGGAGCCCTGGTCTGGGAGAAAGGCAAGGGAGAGAGAAGCATACAGGGGAACACATTCCATTGGCTGGGAAAACAAAAGGGGCAGAGTTTTGTGAGTTTTTGCAACCAGCAGGGATTGAAGACTAGAGTTTTAGAGATCCACAGCATGGCTGGGATAGAGCCTGGAGAGAAAACTGCACTGATCCTGGAGAGAAGGCAGGCAAACCACCTGGGGGCGGACAGTCATCTAAAGAACACCTGGGACACACAGTGGGGAGATAATTCCCTCTTCTCAAACTGAGTTCCTGAGAACAACAAGCACTGAGAACCCTCTCCAGGGACAATGGAGCTGCCTGGCTCCATTTCCCTTCCCCACCCCTCAGCATAAAAAAAGAACCAACTGCTATAAACACCAGAGCACCTACACTGGCTGCCTAACTGGCTTATACCAGGTCCAACACCCCTGCACTCTACCCCTACTGAACTTCTTTGTCAAGTTTGACTCAGTCCTAGCTTGACAGGACCCTTCCCCAGAAAACCAGCCAGAACATCTCCTGACCAGAGAGTTATGCAAAGATTCAGGTCTAGTGGAAGTAGTATTGGGTCTCATTTAACAAGTAGACCGGAGTACACCTAGTTAAATTCACTGCACTCTGCCCAAGGACCAAACACTGCCCAATGAAGGCAAGGATAGACTCTGCAGATAACTGGCCTGAAGGACACAGCAGCCAAAACAAGCAGCAGAATGGATGAGCATGCACCAGACACATGCCCTGAAGCACGAGGCCCTGGGTACTATATGACCTCTTCTTCATAAAGCCAATACACTCAAAAGCAGGAAACGGAACAAGATTTTCTAACAAAGCCAGACACTTAGGCAAAATGCCAAGATGGAGGAATTCATCCCAAATGAAACAACAAGATAAGGTCACAGCCAGAGATCTAACTGAAACAGATATAAATAACATGCCTGAATGGAGAACTGAAAGCAACAATCATAAGGATAATGACTGGACTTGAGAAAAGAATGGAAGACTTCAGGGAGGCCCTTACCAGAGAGATAAAAGAGTTAAAAAAAAACACACAAAACAGAAATGTAAACTGCTATAGAAAAGATCTGAAACAGACTGGATACAATGAACACAAGGATGAAAGAAGCAGAGGAACAGATAAGTGATATAGAAGGTAAAATAACAGACAAATACAAAGCCGCAAAAGAGAGAAAGAAGAATTATGGATCAGGAGAACAGATTCAGGGAACTCAGTGACTCCATCAAACGAAAGAACATTCGTACTATACAAGTCCGAGAACAGGAAGAGAGAGAAAAGGGCGCAGAAAATTTATTTGAGGAAATAATAGCTGAAAGATTCCCTAATCTGGGGAAGGAAACAGACATCCAGATCCTGAAGCACAGAGGACTCCCATCAAAATCCACAAAAGTGGGCCAATACCAAGATTTATTATAATTAAATTTGCAAAATATAGCTATAAAGAAAAAAATCCTAAAAGCAGCAAGACAAAAGAAGTACTGAGCTTACAAAGGAAGACCCATAAGACTAGCTGCAGATCTCTCCACAGAAACTTAGTAAGTCAGAACAGTGTCATGATATAATCAAAGTGCTGAATGGGAAAAATCAGCAGCCAAGAATCTCTATCCACCAAGACTATCATACAGAAGAGAAGGAGAGATGAAGAGTTTCCCAGAGAAAACAAAACTAAAGGAGTTTGTGATCACTAAACCAGCCCTGCAAGAAATACTAAAGGTGACTATCTGAGTGGAAAGAAAAGAACAAAAGTGACAAAGAGAAGAAAGGAACAGAGAAAATCTCCAGACACGACAAAACAAGTAATAAAATGGCAATATATACATAGCTATCAACAGTTCTGAATGCAAATGGACTAAATGCTCCAATCAAAAGACACAGGATGGCAAAATGGATAACAAAACAAGACTCATCTAAATGCTGCCTACAAGAGACTCATTTTAGACCTAATGACACCTGCACATTGAACATTAGGGGATGGATAAACATTTATCATGCAAACAGACATCAAAAGGAAGCCAGACTGTACCTCTGAAACAAATAATGCAATATATGTTAAGAAAAAAAAAAAAGAAGAAGAAGAAGAAGGTAGCGGGAGGGGAAGAATGAAGTGGGGGAAATCGGAGGGGTAGACGAACCATGAGAGACGATGG